GTTCATGGTATTATAGGGAAATATTTTAAAGCATTAGTTCATTAGCTGAATTTTAAATGACACCCTGCCAAATGCAATTCCTTTTTAATATCCATCAGCATTTTTTAAAATTCACATTTTAAAATGTCACCCTAACTATTCATAGTATGAAAATTAACTGTTCTCTCTGGAGGTGCCTTTCCTCTCCATATGTAGCTTTTATTACCCAGCTAGTATTCAAAGAGTTTTCAATTTAATGTACCACAAAAGCTTTTCACAGCTGAGACACCATATAACTTCATTAAGTATGCAAATAGCTTGTCTCCACACACCAAATTAAGTTGCATACAATAGGAAAGCACTTGCTTTAGAAAAAGAATAAATACCAGTTCTCCATAAAACTCATGTTTATGAGGGCTTTTAAGACAAGAAACAACTTCATTCACTAATGTACATGGGGAAACAAGAGTACAAAATGCATGCAAAAAAGAAAATATTTTTAAGTCTTAATATCCAGAATTTTTTGTTGTTAGTTGTGAAGTCGTGTTCAACCCATCGCGACCCCATGGACAATGTTCTTCCAGGCCTTCCTGTCCTCTACCATCCTCTGGAGTCCATTTAAATATCCAGAATATAAAGGGTAAATTTCACATGTATAAGAAAATATATTCCTCACTAATTTGAATTTATAGTTGCTTTCTTTATAAAGCAGAGGAAGTCATGTCTCAAAACTAGTCTTTGAAAACAAGGTAGTCAAAACAAGCTGGAGAGATCAGAGTTGACAGAGTACAGTAGAATCTCTGGTTACGAACACTTCTGGCCACGACCAAATTGGGTTCCAACCAAAACATTCACAATTTTTCACCCCGCGGCTGATTTCCCCTTCTGCGCCATTTTTTTTGTAAGCACCAGATTTCCAAAATTAGGTTCAGGTCACGACCAAAGTTATGGAATGAATTATGGTCATGACCAGAGGTTCTACTGTATATGTTCCCAGACATTCCATCTTGTGTTGTTGCAGATCCATATAAGAGGCTTCATATACAAGTAAGTAGCTAGTATCTGAGTTGTGCTTCATTTGTAAGCTATTAGATTTATTGAACTTAAACTGTTTCATGACCAGTTAAAAAGGAAATGGCAATCATACTGATAGAAGCAAGCACAAGGGGCTTCTACATAGAAGTATGAGAAGAAATTATCATTTCTGGACAAAGTGTTTACTGGAGACAGGGAGAGGGAGAGCTTTGTATTTAGATTTTTTGACCCAGAGTCTTAGAAATGTCAATCACTAAACAAAACTTGTAATAAACAATAGCCTAGCTTAACACAATCTTTAATCAAACGATGCATGAAATTGATAGAACAGTAACATCTTATGTTACTCTTGCCATTAAAGATCATTACTGTTACATATTTGGCTTGAGAATATTTAACAATCTCTAAGTGAACAGATAGATTGTCAGAATCAGTTGCAGGATGTTCAGCCTAATAACCCAATCCTAAACTCTTCAGGATGGAGCCAGATTGATGTAGTGGTTAAGGCATCAGTTTTTAAACTGGGAGACTGTGAATTCTAGTTCTGCTTTAGGCAAGATTGTGATCCTGATCTTGGGTTAGTCATATTTTCTTAGCCATAAGAAGTAGGCAGTGGCAAACCTCTTCAAAACTCTTGCCAAGAAAACTGCAGGGCTAGTCAAGGCAGTTGCCAGATGTCCAGACAGACAGACAGACAGACAGACAGACGGCTTCTGAATGGGTGGAAAATGGCAGATTGATGTGCCTCCTTCTGTTTTTTTAGAAATCTATCCTGGATGTATCAGTCCCAAATATATCACTTAGGTAGACTATGTCTAAGGATAATCTTTATTCAGGATAGTTTTCTAAGATATTTCAAGACTGGGCTGGTAAGCTGCCATGAAGTGATAAATAACTTCTTAGAGTGCTGGAGGGCAGGATACATTTCACAGTGAGTGCAGCTAGGATTAAAACAACAATTGACTCATTTTAAATTATACTAAAATCAAAATAGCAAACATTTGTTTCTCCCAAATATTAATTGTTATATTCAAAATTATAATTTCATTTCAACTTTTGAAAGGACTCTGAAGATTGCACTCAAGGTTGGGGGAGGGGGGTGAGCGGGCTGGCTCCGTGAATCCATGCCAAGCTATACATTCTATTCTGCTTACTTGTAAGTATTTACAAGACAATATTGGTATTTTCAGATGGATACTTAGATACTGTAACAGAATTTACAACTCTTATAAGTAGTTCTAAAGATAGTTGCTCAAGTAATTTAATGGTAAAGTGTGTGTATAAAAATAACCATCATTTCTAGTAGTAGCAACAACCCAAATCATTCCAGTGCAGATCTCTTACTTTTCAATGACAGAAATTCAATTATCACACCAAATAAATGTCATGAAGATACTTTAATATAACACCCCCACCTAGAAGCACTTTCCAAACTTTTAAAAAACAAAAATGAGGCCAGGAATCAAAGCAATGTGAATTAAAGCCATGTAATTCCCTGTGAAAAGAATTATGAGTTTCACTTGGTTTGGAATGAAAAATGCAGGTTTTTCTGTTATGTACTCTACTGAAACTGGGATTATCGGTAGTTCATTTTTGTTGATAGTGTACTAGAAGTTCAGCCTTTTTCTTTTTTGTTTCTTCCTACTACAATATAGGTATGGTAGTTCTCGACTTACAACTATAATTCATCCCAGAAATAAGATTCTAAGTTGTGCCAATCATTATGCAGGTCACCATGTGACTATATGTGATTTTACGATCTCTGCAATGGTCATTGAGTGAATCGTAGTACTCATGAAACAAACATGGCCATTATTAAGAAAACCCATTGTCTGCAATGGGCCGTCACATGACCACAAGACATTCCACATCTCCAACAGCATCTATCAATCTCTATCCCTTTATAAAATGAAACATGCATATGTAATAAACATAAAACAATACTTTGTTGAACTGTAATTTTAGACATAGAGGGATTTGAGATAATGATCTTAAAGGGCTGATACTTGTCAAGTAGTTGGATTCTAACATTTCCCCTATTTTAAGTGGTGTCAAATATTTCAATTTGGTCTAAATGTTTAAAAAGTAAATCTTGCTATTTATTCATCAGCCCAAGGAGGGAAAAACTTGCCTTATGATGTAATTTTAATGTGTAACATCAACTGAAGATTCCTAAAAATCAAAGGAATCTTTCCTAAACAAATCTGTGCATATTTTCAAAAATACATTTTCAGAATATTATATATTGAATACACTAAAACATTTTAAAATTATCTTATTCCATCACTTTGAACATTAAAGTAACTAAAAATATAAGCAATTACTTTATTTTTAAAACACTGTATACATCAGTTTTTCACAACAAATGAGAATAGCAAACCAAAGAGCATCAAGAATTTCAATATTTCATCAATATGGAGGAGAGTTTCATTCTGTGCATAAGTATTCTGCAAGAACTACCAAAAAGCAAACCTCAAAGGATTCCATTGTAGATATTTAGTTTCCATTCCAGCAGTACTTCTGCTGACTAACAATGGAGTATGTTCAAATTGCTTTCCACAGGTACTGCTTTTAACTATTTATAGTTAACAGTGTATGTCCCTCTACACACTGACAGAACTCCCCAAGTAATTTACTACTGTACTTAAAAATTTACCACCAATAACCTACTGTCTTGCCTGAACACTCTTGTGCCTTTTTTTTCTTCAGTCATATGGTTTTCAAAACCAATTAACAATTTCAAAACTTTTTAAAAATTAACAGTATCAATGAATTCAAATCAGAAAGATATATTGGCCAAATATGAAACATGATGAGGTTAAATTCTTATGCTAAGGTTACAATGCTCCTTTAAATCTTTTCCTTTTTTACAAGATGTTCTCGATTTTGTGCTTCTTTGTGTTTTTATTTATACTTTTCAGTTCTTTAATTATTGTAGGACAGTATGGAGCATGAACATTTCTGGGCTTTTTGTTGTGCTTAAAGGAGCTTTTATTACTGTATATTTCACTTCACTATAAAGAATAGACGATTAATTTTAGATTCTAAATTTAATCATTGAAGGATGGCATATAATGTATTGCTTCCTTTAATTAATACTGTATTAAATCCATCAAGATATGTTGGGAGCTTGTGAGAATACCTTCCCCAAATCATACTTTAATTAGTTTTAAAATATTAAACTGTGTAGTTTCAATCTTTTAACATATTATTTTTCTACTTGTTTTATAACTTGTAAGCTACAGTACCCACAGTCACCTTATAGAGGAGGTGAGTGGCATAAAAATTTAATAAATAAATAAAAATGAATAGATTGCATTACTTAGTACAAAGCTAAGATAAGGAGCTCTAATGGGAAAAACGGTGATAGAGGAAACCTGTTTCTTTTTCATCTCCTCCTTCAACTTCTGAACAAATAAAGCAGCTCAGCTTAATCTGAAGTAGCTCAACAGGAGTAACAACCAGAGGAGATACTTTAAAGTAACCAGTGCGGCATTTTTACCATCCCAACAAGTAATTCCAATCACAGCTTAAACTTTTAAACTTAAAAAAGGGGCAAAGATCGCGTTTTCCTGACACTGCAGTCGGAATGCAAATCTTACACAGAACTTTTTTAAGAAACACGGGCAAGAAACTGGGAGAGGCAAAATGGCTCGAAGGAGAAGGGCTTGTTCTGAGAACCATTTCTACTCGCTGGGAAAATGCCAACGTGCCAGTCACTTAAGTAGTCAGAAGGTGCTCTGGGCCCATTCGGCGGCGTTTCTGGCAGAACTGACGGCACCTCCCCACGTCCACCGTTCAGCGCGGGGCAAATACCCGACTCAGAAACTCAACTCAGAAACTTGCGAGGAAAGTTGACCCGCACTTTACGGGGACTCACGGAGCACTTTATATCTCTTATTCGACCTGCGTTAACGGTTGTTCGCTGCGGAACGAAAGGTTGCCTCTGCCCAAATGTTGCCTCTGCCCTTCAGCTCTTCCCTCACCTGCTGATAAAGCCGTCGCCGTCCCCGTCGCACGTCTGGAAGAGGCGCCTCATCCTCTCCTCCTCGCCGGTGCTGGAAGTGTCGCTGCTGCTGCTGCTCCCGGTGCTGCTCACGCTCACCTCTACCACCACTGCCGGGCCAGCCGCCGTCGCCATCGTACCCTCTCTTCCGAGGAGGAGGAGGAGGAGGCGGCGACGGCGACTCAAGCCCGCTCAGGCTTCCAAGGTTCCCGGAACCTCCAGCTCGCCAGGGAACCCCCTGCGCGCGCGCTCCCCTTTCCCAGCTCAGCTGTCGCGCGTACAAAGCACGGGAAGGCTGCACAATGAAAACAAGGAGGGTGGGGAAATCCAGACGCTCCGCCGCTCCTTCTCGCGCACGAATTCAGCGCGCGCCGCCTTGGGCTCCAATCAGGCACATCCTAGGGACGGCGCGCGCATTGGCTGGCGCGCGAGACCCTCTCTGGCCCTTTTCTTCTTTGGAGCCAAAAGCCGGGGAAGGGGGAGGGGGAGGGTTTCGTCGGGTTGCAACCGTAAGAGCACGGAAGAGTTCAAAAGAAGGTGGCGGACGCAGAGGTGGAAGTTGGCGTGCGTAGTTTATGATTTCGGCTCGTTTCTCCGAGACGTCGGCGAACGAACGGAGGAGTATCTTTCTGGAGCGAATGGAAAGAATATTTGTTAACGTCTGCAGAGTGCATATCCATGGACGACCACCGTAAAACTGCACTGCAAAAGTTATGTTTGGACTTGCTGACGATTAGCCTTGAGCAAAAATGCTTCTATCTGCGTTTCGTGCCAAACAATCATTATGTATGTCATATAAGAGATGTAAAAGTGTCGTTGGTAAAAAGTAGAAGGAAATGTTGCATCTGGCCAAAATATACCTGTTTATATTACGTTACACATTAACTATACTGTAATCGTAAATTTGCATTGCCTTAAGTAAAACTTTCCTATGACTCTGTCTCTGATTTCTCTTGAAGTGATTTATTGATTAGCAAACTCAATGTTGCAAATGTATGCTTTATGAACATGAGATCAAATCTCCAACTTGATATGTAAATTAATTCAATTTAACTTTAAATACTTTTAGCCAATGTGGCAGATTTTCATTTGTTTTTAGTAGCTTTATTTTCTACCTTTCAGCAGCTACATTGTACTTGAGTTTGTGAATAATGGAGAGTTGAGGTACTATGAAATGGTTTATGGAAGAGTGTTTGGGGGTTTTTTTTGATACAGCACCATCTGTCTGGCTTATGGTAGTCAAGTGCGCAGCCCCATTGTGAATTGGTAGTAAAAGTAAGCAGAACCCGCCCCTGCCTCAATTGTTATCAATTTCACCTGAGTTGTTGGGATCCTCTATAGTAGGTGCCTGGAGAGATTGCAGGGTAGCTTAATTTGGAGGTAGAAATTAATTCAGAGATCCAAGTCCCAAATTATATTGCATTTTACAGAACAAATTAACAATTAAATTGTACATATGAGTGATTAGAACAAGCCAGTTAAGTACCAGAGAGAGATATATTCTCAATTAAAAAGCTCCTGGAATTAAAAATTTAAATAAATAGCATAATAATATAAGAAATATATTAAAGAGAAAATGAAATGGATTATAAAATTTTATATCATACTTGACAACCCAAGTCCTGCTGGGCCATCGTTTCAGAGATTTCTTTAACTAAACAGAATATTACCACAAATGGGCAATAAAACAGTGACATCAGGAGCAATTTCCAACTTCCCCACTGAGTTTCCTTGTGCAGGTAGCATCGGAAATCTTCCTCCCTCGCATTCCTGACAACTTTCCCATTGAGTTTGCTTGTGGGCAGCTTGCAAGAAAGTCAGTGGGGAAACCAGCACTGTAGCAAGTCCAACACCATCAGGGGTATAAATGGCTGCTACTGAGTAGGTGAAGAAGGGAGGATGCATGGAGGTGCAGGTCAGAAACGGTACATGGGTACATGTGAGAGGTGCTGTTGGAAGGGATGGGTGTGTGGGTTTGCACCAGAGATGCCACATGGGTTGTAGAGGATATGTGGATGGGCAGCATAATTCGGGCAGAGTATCTGGGATGCACAGAAGATGCTATGCAGGCTATGTGTATGACATACGTTAATAACAGTGCATGGGGTCCAGGGGTGCTATTCAGCAGGTTCTGGAGAACCGGTAGCGGAAATTTTGAGTAGTTCAGAGAACCAGCAAATACCACCTCTGGCTGGCCCAGAGTGGGGTGGGAATGGAGATTTTCCAATATCCTTCCCCCAGGAGTGGGGAGGGAATGGGGATTTTGCAGTATCCTTCCCCTGCCATGCCCAACAAGCCATGCTCACAGAACTGGTAGTAAAAAAATTTGATTTCCACCACTGATGGAATCACAGGTATGCACAAGGGGTGCTGTGCAGATCAAGTAGGATGCGCAGTGTGGCAATGCGGGTTAATAAGAATGGAAGGATGCAGGGAATGGAATGCAGTCAGAGATGGCATGCAGTAGGGGATTGCTTGGGTTTGTGAAAGATGCCTGGAAATGTTTGGGAGTTTTGCTATGCAGATTGGGAATAAGGCATAGGAGGTGGTGCCGGTTAGGAAGGTGTGTGGGAATGCCTAAAGTGCCAAATAGGTCAGGGAAAGTGTGCATGAAGTAATGCAGATCTGGGAGATGAGGTGCATGGGGGTGAGCAAAGTGCTGGGTGGGTCAAGGCAGGCATCTAAGGTGTAAGTTGGGTCAGAGAAAGCATGTGGGGGGCAACATGGGAGGCATTGTGGGAGCATGTAGATGGGAAGGATGCATGGGGATTCTTTTCTGTTTCTTCCTCTTTCTCTTCCTCTCCCTTTCCAGCAGGCAAGTGGCTGGTACTGATTCAGGAAGGGAGTGCAAGAGTGGCTGGTAAACTGCCACAGAACATTAAAAATGAAGATTGTGTGACTAAGCTGCAGCCTAGCAGCAGCCTGCAGTACTGAAGCCACAATGTCCCCAAATTTCATTCCCTTGGAAATCATTACTTCTGTATCTAGGTTCAAAAGGTATCTTGGTTCAAAAATTGTTGCCTAATAGTTCACCATATTACCCATTTAAAGATGATATCAAGAGTTTTAGTAGCATATAGATCTGATATTTGAGTCTATAGCAATAACATTTTCAAACATTGTATTCTTCTGGTAGACTGTAAACTCAAAACTAGATTGACATGGTCATGACATGGTGGGGAAGAATAGAAAGAAAATTCCAGGATGGACATAGGTTTAATACTCTTCCATAACATTAGACCTGCATATAGAACAATGTAGTAGTCAGTACATGAGAAAATAAAAATGCTGTTTCTCCAGAAAGCTTCCATGTTTAGCTGGATAGTAGGATCTCTCTTTTTTTATTGAAGCACAGATATCCAGTGATGAAATTCAGAACTTGCCTGTAGATACAATTAAATATATACTAAAATATAAGAGGCTGAGTTCAAATAGGATTTTGCCTTTTTTTTTTTTTTGCTTTAATTTATATGCCGCCCTTCTCCGGAGACTCAGGGCGGCTTACAATGCGTTAAGCAATAGCCCTCATACTTTTGTATATTTATACAAAGTCAGTTTATTGCTCCCACAGTCTGGGTCCTCATTTTACCTACCTTTGAAAGGATGGAAGATTGAGTCAACCTTGAGCCTGGTGAGATTTGAACTTGCAGTAATTGCAAGCAGATGTTAATAACAGTGTTTTAGTCCTTATGGTTAAATCAAGGGCTTCTTCCTCAGAATGACAAAAAACCCTACCAAGATGCCAAATTTTGATTTGGTTTAGGATGCTTTGTGAAGGCAGCCACTGTGATTTATTACTTAGCAGAAGCGTGTTTCATTACTAAACAACTTGTTTAAGACAACGCTGGAAGTATGCCAGACATCATCATCTGATCCACAAAAACTTATGTAAAAATAAAGTTATCCATCTCCATCATGCCAGAAAAAGGATGCGTTGTTGTTCTATTTATTTAACATGCTCAGAAGGCGATCTCTTTCGGGAGATTTAACCATATTTTAAAAATCACCCTAATCACACAACACCCTGGAATCGTATTTTAATTTAGCCCGCTCGCAGTATCAATGTCTGTCCACTAGGCCAAAATGTGGCAGCGACCTATAAAACAGCCACGCTCAGTAAATCGAATCGGGCTTGACTTGCAATATCGTCGCATTTTGAGACAGAGGAAAGCGACCTCCCCTCATCAGCGCCAGTTTATAAAAGCGGCTTCTTCTCTTTCTACCTTCCCTTTCCCGCCTGGAAGGCTGTGACGTCACCCTCGCAGCCGAAGGCTCCACCCCTTGAGCTGCTCCTTTCGGTTTCCCGACCGAGTTTTGGGCTGTCTCGGGCCTGCTGCGGCCCTACCCAGCTCCCTCTGCCGGCGCCGAGCATCCCGAGCTGAGCTTGAGCTCCAGGACGGCCCTAGGAGATGTCCCGGCCAAATAGCGTCTCGCCTCGGCCCTCGGGGACCGGCCCTCGGCCCTCGGGGAGCGGGTCCACAAGCGGAGGCCCCTCCACCGCCTCCACCGCCTCCTCTTCGTCGTCCTGCTCCGGCGGTGGTCGCACTAAGGGACTGAAGGACATTCGTATTGACGAAGAAGTGAAAATCGCTGTGAATATCTCTCTGGAACGGTTTCGCTATGGGGACCAACGAGGTAAAGGCTGGTTCCCTACTCCCGAGGCGACCCACAGTTGATTTGGGGGGGGGGAGTCGTCCCTTCTTTGAAACAGGGCAGCCCCCCCCCAACAAACTAATCCACTGTTAAAGGTTTGCAAATTAAGTGCTCCTTCTTGTTGGTTCTTCCTCTGGATTGACCTGCAAGCGCTCTCTCAGTGTATCGGACAAACACAATGAGAGTTGTGATTCAACACAACTGAAGGGTATTCCTTATGGAATAATCAATTCCTGGTAAACAACTGCCTGTATTGTTTCTCTTACCCTTGGGGTCAAAAGTGATATATGTCTTATGTAAAGGAGGCCAACCTTATCTCCCCCTTCATTAGTTACTCTGGCTAGGAAAGTACAAATGCTGGTTGCTGGTTTGTAGTTGTTGCTGCAGAAATAATGTAGCAGCATCAATACCGCCTTTATTAAGGACCATATTCAATCTTTTTTTAATCTGTTAGATATCTAGGATCTTTCATTCTTTTGCAATTCAAAGGCAGTTTTCCCCAAACCCATTGAATACAGATTCTTTAATGGGGGAGTTGCCCATACTGATAATTTTAAACATTCAGAAATAAAAGGTTTTTCTACGGTTTTATATCAGGTATACTAAGGGAAGATTAAATATGAGTTGAATCATTTGGCTCTAATATTTGTGTGTGTGTGTGTATGTGTGTATACAGCAAGACCAAGCTGCAGATGAGGCATGTTTCCAATTGTGCTGTCCCAAATACCTTGGAAAGGTAACAAGCAAGCATGGATTCATAATGAATCCAGCAAGTTTAACAGGCCCTGGGCACCAAGCATTTCTTGGTTGAAGAAATTATTCAAGTTAAAGAATATACTTATATACTTTATATACTTCTTTGATATAATATTTATCATATATTCATTTGTCCATTTATTTAAATGCCATGTAAAATAAAAGATATTTTCACATTTAGCAATCAATAATTTTCTCCCCAGTGTATTACTAATCAAATTTGTTAATTGGCACATAATATAACTGTGTTCTGTTGTGAAATAAGCTCCATAGAATTCAGTGGAATCTTCCCAGATGAGACTCTTTTCTCATCTTTGAGAAATATTTGTTCCTGCTTATGAATGAAAATAATCCAATGACTGAATATTCCTGTTGTAACTTTCCCCTGCAGAAATGGATTTTCCTTCATCATTGACCAGCACTGAGAGAGCTTTTATTCATCGGCTAAGTCAGTCTCTTGGTTTGATTTCTAAAAGCAAAGGGTAAGCTGGTATCTTATAAAATAAGCAGCTTCCATGTATTGTAAATCAACATGGATAGTTCAGAATTAATGTTTCTGATACAACTGTAGTTTTAAGCTTCTGAAGTATTTTAATGATATTGAGTTCTTCATGAGTTTGGTGTGCTTCTGTTTTAAATAGTGCTACATATAGTTACTGTATTGCTGTCAAGTGCTTGTTCATAATTCCATGTTTAGGTAGAATTGATAGCCAGATAACATTGGCTATAAATTTTTCCTGTGTTGCTGCAATAAATACATTCATTTAGATTTTATATTTTTTATGTTAAAAATATTTAGAAAATGACTATTCTTACGTTTAGAAGGGTACATAAATTCTGTTAGAAGTAAAATGCATTGAAATGGACTGGACTTTCTTCTAAATAAATATTGTTAAGAATTAACTCTAGGTTTTCTGATCATTGACTATGTAAAATTTTTTACTGTATTTTATTCTGAGAATATCAGATGCTAAAACTATATATGATTGTTTGAATAATCACAATGAAGTTTCTTTAGTTACAAATAATTGTGATACTTATTCATGATCTCAGTAGATGGCAGCATCTGACTGAGTTTGGAACATAACTAGGATCACCCTGGTTAGTGTTGAAATGGAAGATCACCAAGCACTGAAGACTAACTGGGAAGTTAAGAATATCCAGGAAGTCAGCAGTAGAAAACCTTATATCAAGAAGATTGCATGAATGTATCAATCAATCACCAAGATTCAACTTCATTTAAAAGATACTTTACTTTTACTCTTATATGATTGTCATTAATAAAATCTTAGATGCTCCTAAAAAGTTATTAATGCTTTTAAAAGTATGTGTTTAGATAGCCATTTCAGTTTACAGTATAAAAAGCCTTGTCCTAGAAACAAACTCAATTCTACATGTTTTAAATCCTATTTATTGAAATGTATACTGAGCATTTAAAATACAGTAGGGATTTGCTATACTCAACTGTGTGTTTGATTGCATTTCAGAGTAGCTGAATGCTATGCATTGATAATTCAGAAATAACACTTACAGAGAACAAATTAAACAGAAACCTAGCATATTTTAATATTCTTTGAGATAATTATTTAATGTCCAGATTAAAGTGAATGTTAAGGATCATTCTGGTGATAAATATAACAATGCATCCATATTACAGGAAAGGAGCGAACAGATATCTAACTGTGAAGAAAAAAGATGGATCCGAATTAGCACATACAGTGATGACTTGTAATTTGATTCCAAACACAAAGCATGCTATTAGAAGTTTAGTTCAGAGATTTCCTGTTACCAATAAAGAACGTACAGAACTTCAACCAAAAACAGAGAGGGGAAATGTATTTGCTGTTGAAGCTGGTAGGTTGAATATCCTGTGAAAAACTACAGTAAATTACGGGAGGAAAATATGTTGCGAAAGACATGCTTAAAAAATGTTACCATTACAGTCTGAGATTTTTATAAAATGTGATGATTGCTATCCTACGGAGTGTGAGTTCAATTCTGTGCTGATGGTGCTGATTCACCATTTCCCCAATACTGCTTTGTTGTTGTGTTTTGAAGACTTTTCTAATTCTTCCCTAAAAAAGAAAAGAGAATTTTAGTGGAATGCTTCCCATTCTCTTTAATGAGTTCCAAGCAGAACTCAGGATACATACCCATATTTTCAGTAGCAAGTAACAATAAGAGTCACAGGAATAACTTCATTAAGAATGGAGATAGCTGGGTGGCTCAGTGGCTAAGAGACTGAGCTTGTCGATCAGAAAGGTCTGCAGTTTGGCAGTTCAAATCCCTAGTATAGGTCTCCTGCGTGAGCAGGGGATTGGACTAGATGACCTCCAAGGTCCCTTCCAACTCTGTTACTGTTAATGAACAGTAGGTTGAATTTGACATTGTTCAAGTGGGATTTCAGTACAGATTCCACATTAAATTTTACTTTTGAGGAGCCTGGGCCATATCAGATGAGATTCTGAAGAAGTCTGAGGAGATACACAGTGGACCAGCCTGCTCTTTGATTCCTCAGAAACATTTTTGATTTTTCCTACTATTGTAGTTCAAAGATCATGTTAAACTATTTTTGTACCCAAAAAATGAATTTACGTTCTACTTCCGCCTTATGGTAGGCCTGAGTTTAGCTGTTTTAATCTCATAATCTATACAATATTTTTAAAAAGGTTAAAATCTCCCCTCTGTTCTATTAAGTCTTAAATAGGCAAACTTTTAGCAGACCAGGTAGTTTGGTGGCCACATAGAAGTGATGAGAGTAGTCCTAAATCTTTCACCTGGGAGCTGTAAGTCAGGTAGTATTAGTTCTGGATGTCACTAAGCTATTTACTACTTTGATTTGCCTGGTTTTCTGAATGAAAATGTAAATAAAGAATAGCTGTTCTGTATACATTGTGAACAAATGGAATGTGGGTCTATTGTCCGGCTGAGCAATTCCTGTTTATTCACAGTTATGTTCCACCGGAATTTTATTTATCAAGGATACTATTACAGTACAAACTAAGTGATAGTTTGGTACTGTCTTGCTGCGTGATATTCAATTTCTAAAACAAAATTGTTTATTTATTGCATGTTAGAATAGATAGATTTTCTGCTTATCATATTCCTTATTTTTTTCCCCTAGAGAATAGAGAAATGAGCAAAACAAGTGGGCGTCTTAACAGTGGCATCCCTCAGATCCCAGTGAAACGGGGAGAATCAGAATTTGATTCGTTTCGGCAGTCTCTACCAGTTTATGAAAAGCAAGATGAAATTGTTAGAATTATTAAAGAAAATAAAGTAATTTTGATTGTGGGGGAAACTGGATCTGGGAAAACTACTCAGGTATGCTATATCTATATCTAAGAAAAATAAAAAATATGAAACAGTTGTCGTAATAGATAAGTAAATAGTTTTAATATTTTAAAATCATCCAGTTTCAGATAGTAATATGTGATGTGGGATTTGTATGTCTAGTTAACTGATTTTTTTTCTATCAATAACACCTATCTTTATGTTCAGATACCTCAATTTCTACTTGATGACTGTTATAAAAATGGCATACCGTGTCGCATATTTTGCACTCAACCAAGACGGTTAGCGGCGATTGCTGTGGCTGAAAGAGTTGCTGCTGAAAGAAGAGAGAAGATTGGTCAGACTATTGGTTATCAGATCCGATTAGAAAGCAGGTCTCACCAAATGTCTTTTGTATTCTTGGATTTCAGTATTTTATAAGTTTTGCAGATTACAGATTGTACAAGTAACAAAGTTTAGAGATAATCTCACCCCTTGCTTGACATATTATATTTTTTCTTTTTGATCCTATACCTCTGATTCCCTCTTCTTTTGGTATAGGAAGACTGGTATGCAGGTAGTCCTCAATTTACGACCATAAATGAACCCAGAATTTCTGTCATATATCATGACAGTCATAAATGAAGGCATCTGCATTCCAAATTTTATGAGCTTTTTTACGACAGTCATTACACGAAACCATTGTCCACAATGGGTGTTTTTTGCTGGAAACCAGAAGTAAATGGCATGGAAAACTGCAAATGACCATAAATGTGGTCTGGTTGCCAAGCACCCAAAATGCAATGACATGACCATGGTGGGGAGGCCAGAACTTTGAATCTGAATTGTTGTCAGGTGGGAAAGATCAGAATAGTATGACGTTCTAATTAAATTGATTTTATTACTAGTTATCCCTATGTATAGGAATCTACTAAATTAATGGTTAGCACTATCTTGGTGTTAGGTAAGTATCAATAGAATTCCAGAGAGTTTGAACTTAGTCCATTTGTGGCAATGTAGGGACTCTAGGCCGATTCCTTTTTTGACTCTGTCCCAAGATTCTGTCACTTCTACAGACATCAGTACATTTTTGAGGTGGTTCATTGTAACTTTGAGCAGTCACTAAATGACCACGAATGAAGGCAGATATACGTGTCCCAGGATAATGTTGCAGGATCCAATCCGGGTCAGTCACTGGGACCAGAGGTTTTGTCTTCCGAGCTTTCAGACTTGTGCTGGAGTCCATCTTTGTACTGAAGGTGGTATCCAGCACAAGTCCAAAAGCTCGAAAGACAAAACCTCTGGTCCTGGTGACCAACCCATTTTGGAGCCTGCAACTAAATGATCAGTTATAAGTCAAGGACTACCTGTAATAGGCTTGTTTGACTATTAATGCTGTGTTGCATTATAGTGATAAATACTAATAGATATATACGGTTTCCAAATTAACATCTATTGCATCATCTCCCAAGTCTATTTTTTGATAATTCTTTCCAGAATTAGTCAGCAGTACATAACAAAGTGATATAGTATTTATGGGATGCTTTCCACAGAATGTTTTGCCTCATAGATTTTTTAAAAAAACTATCCCAGTGATTCATTGGTTTACATTTCCAAAGTTTTAAAAATGTAGTCCAAAATTTGTTTTAATGCTGGTAGTGATTTTCCTTTCCCTCCTTACTGTCCAGTACTCTACTCTTTTTGTGATTCCTCACACTAGTATTCTTGATTATGTTAATCAAGCTTGGAAATTGTGAAACTAAGTGTAGTTAAGTTAAAAATATTTCTTACATGTTTCTATGTGTAATGCTGACATTGATTTGTTGAGAAACAGTCTGTATCCCTCATTGAATGAACATGAACTGTTTTATATTTTAAGCACCACCTTCTAGCCTAAGATTTTGTGTAAGTAAAATTTAGAAAAAAACATTTCCACCTGCTAGTATGTGCCATGTTACAGATAAATTTCGATAGACGAACTACATGTAACATACCCTTTCTCTATGGTTTTTGCTTAGACAGAGTTTTCTATAATGCAATCTTTTCTTTGTGTTAAATCTACACTTTAAAACAAGTCATTTGGTCTTTCAGAATAATATTGCTCCATTGCAGTACAGCTTTGCACTATAGCTTGTTCAAAATTTAGTGCTGAAGTGATAACATTGTGATTAGAAGCCTTTATTTCTAGCAACTTCATCTCTATGTAATTGTGCTTAAATGTTTTTATTTATTCATTAAACAATTTTTATAGCTACCCAACTCACACATTGGTGCTTTGGAGAGACTTACAAAATCTAAAAAATAACTTTATATTAACAGGGTTTCTCCAAAAACGCTCTTAACATTTTGCACGAATGGTGTATTACTTCGTACACTAATGGCGGGGGATAGCGCATTGTCTACTGTAACTCATGTTATTGTGGTAAGTTTGGCCAATGTTTTTCAGAAATGGTATCCTTGTTCATGTGCAAGCTTTTTAATACAAAATTTTATTTATTTTAAAATAAAATAAAAATAATTTTTAAATAAAAAATTAAAGTAAAAATATGAACGTATAAACACATTTTTTATTAGCATATTAGTGGTATTATTTATTTAATCAATTTCTAAGGATGCCTTTTCCCCTGTAACTCTTGTATTGCGTTATTGATCATATATTACTTTGAGGCACTTGCTCCTGGACTCCAATAGAGGAATAGGTTTTGATTCATTTTTTAAACTTCTATAGATGAATTGAATAGAATTTTATTATACTTTTTATAACTTTAGTAGGTTTTATAACTTTTGAACAACTATACCTACATACTAGATATTTCTACCAGTGTTTGTAAGCTTGAATTGTGAAATAATATATTGATAAATTTACAATTTAATTAAAATTATTTTAAATTATTTTGAAATTCTGATCATTTTGACTTTAAAGTGGTTTGATAAAAACATTTATCTTCCAATGTGAACATACTTGGTACCTATGGGTACCGAATTATGAAAGCATATAATTTCTTCAGCAATTTCTATATATAATCAGAATGTGAGATTTAAGGAGCAGTTCTCAAATGAACCATGTAGAATTTGGGATTCTGATTGGTTTTTTTAAAACTGCCTTTTATTTGACAGCTTGAATACTCTGAAGCAAAATACTACATAAAATCCTAACATTGAAAGCAGGATGAATTATATGTTGATTTTGGGGACTATTAATATTAGATGGGACAATGGCTAGGTAATTCTGAGAGTTTAAGCCCATATATTAAGAGCGTGCACAAGGTAGGGAAAATTAATGTCGACCAATAGAAATGAAAACCAGTATTTGTAGACCAATGCAGTAAAACATAACAAAACATAACTTCAGTGTAGTTACCTTGGTCATTATGATACATATTAATAAAGACAAAAAAAAAGCATGACCATCATTTCTATTATCTTTTCCATGTCAGGGGTTTCAAAATCTTATGGCCAACGGTTTCATTGGAATTTTAAGAACTATGGCTGCCATAGGGAAAACATGGATGATAATCATAGTGATTATACTATCTGTTCAATCGTGTTTGATTCTCAATGATTCTATGGACCAGCGCGCTCCATATTTTTTTATCCTGTGCAGTTTCTTTCAGTTATTTTATTCTTTGGCTGATGTTGGCTTTTATAGTATCTAGCCATTGTGTTTTAAACAGTCTTTTTCCTTTTACTGCTGACCATTCTAAGCATCGTTGTCTTTTCCAGTGAGTTTCATCATATGATATGACTGGAATAAGTAAGGTGGAATTTTGTGATTTTGTCTTTCAGCCATATGGTAAGGTTTATATGACCTACTACATGCTTGTTTGTCACCTTTTCTGTCCAAGGAGCCTTATTAAATTTATATCTAAATAATGAGATATGTATAATTGAGATGTTTGCAAGAAGTGAACAACTTCAGTTAACATGACAACAAGAAACAAATTATAATGTGATGTAACAAAATGCTCAGGTTTTATTATAAAAATCATGGGTTGTTTATGTTGCAGGATGAAGTCCATGAAAGAGATCGATTCAGTGATTTTTTGTTAACAAAATTAAGAGATATGTTACAAAAACATTCGACATTGAAACTCATACTTTCTAGTGCTGCTCTTGATGTGAATCTCTTCCTCAGATATTTTGGAGGCTGTCCAGTGATATATAGTAAGTTCAAGTATTTTTTTAAAATCCCAGTATTAAATACAGTTCAAGAAAATATGTATTACTCTGAGAGAGAGAGAGTGCGGGGGTAGTGAGAGTTTTTTTTTTTTTTTAATTTGATTTATATGCCGCCCTTCTCCGGAAACTCAGGGCGGCTTACAAAGCGTTAAGCAATAGCCTTCATACTTTTGTATATTTATACAAAATCAGCTTATTGCCCCCATAATCTGGGTCCTCATTTTACCTACCTTAGAAAGGATGGTTAAGTTCTTTGTTTGGTTAAGTTTTCATCTAAGTTCTTTCTTAAGAACTGAAGTGTGGCCAGTGTTTGCTCAAATATTGGCCATACTTCAGTTCCTGAGAAGAACTTAGATGAAGAATTACCAAAGAAAGAAAGAAGGCAGAATTACAGCAGAATTGAGGGAGGAAGCAATTTGCCATAAAGAAAAAAAAAGCCAAATTCCAACACTGACACAGAGGAACAAAACTAAACATTCTGCAGACATTCTGGAATTTATCAACAGCTTTCAGGTCATCAGAATATAAATAGCCAAACAGGAGAATAACACCACTTAACAGGATATAAAAGATTGTGTCTCTCTGTTTGAATAGCAGGAGACTCATAACTGCTATTGTCTGCTGGCCAGACTTACTGGCTTATTAAGAATTAGTTTTCATTTTCCAAGAATATGCACTAGGGCAGGGGTGTTAAACTCAAGGCTGGATGCAGCTGGCCCACGGGATGCTTAGATCTGGTCTGCGGGATCGCCCTGGTAACTACAAAGGACTGGCCCACGGTGCCTCTGTCAGCAAAAACGGGCTCCCAATCTCTGTTTTCAGCATAGGACCCTCCCAAGCTCCGTTTTTGCTGGCAGAGGGTTGTAGATGGGGAGCCTGTTTTTGCTGACACAGCATTCGGGCCACTATAGGAACCCATTACACAAGTAATGTCAAGCTGGCCACGCCTACCTTGGCCACACCTACCCCAGTCTCCTGAGGTCAAAGTCAAACACAACCCTGATGTAGCCCTCAATGAAATCGAGTTTGACACCTCTGCACTAGGAGTGTGCTGAAATAACTGCCAAGACTCCTCATGTCTACTAATTTCTTGTTCATAAATATATGTGACAAATGTTATTACCTAGAATAATTGCAATGACCTCAGCTCAGAATTTTAAATTTTTGGAAGGAAAAATACAAAGAGTTTGTAGTTCTGTAGCTGGTATCATTCCAGTCTATGAAAGAAGATT